ACCTTGGCCCACTGAGTGTCACTTTTCCGTAAGATCATTTGATGTTCTCTTCCTCCCCATATCAGACTCAGAGGTGAGGCCTCTAGCCGGCTCTTCCGTGGCCATATTGGCCAACACAAGTGAGAAGCCCTGTTGGTAACAGACCCAGGGCCTTCTTCTACCAAAATTCCAGCCCATCCTTTTGGTTCAATTGGCCCCATCAGTTAGGGTCCTGAGAATTCCCTAGAGAGCCCAGGTTATGTTTATCTTGGCATTGATCTGTTTTCAGCAATGATCTCCTGTGGCAGGGCCTGGGACTTACTCACCTTCCTGGTCCTAGTGTGGAGCACAGCTGCAGCAGGTACCCAGTAGGAGCTCAGGAAACATTGTCAGAGCTCTTTGAGAAGATGTCAAGGGGGTCTATGAGCAAGGTACTTGTTTTGCCTGCAAATTCAAACTTTTTTTTTTAACACTCAGCTCCTCTTTTTCACATGAGAAATTCAGGTGGTAATAATAGAGGATGCCAGGCCTGTAATCCCAGCACTCAGAAGGCTGAGGCAAGAGGATCACTGGGAGTTCAAGGCCAGCCTGGGCTGTATAGTGAGTTTGAGGCCAGTTTCATGTGTAGCAAGAACCTGTCTCAAAAAAAAAAAAAAAAAAAGAGGATGGAGTGACACAAACAATCCTTGTAAAATATTTTTTTCATTTTGAAAGATGAGGCTGGTCATTCTCCTATGTAGTTTGCATGTATTAGACTGAACAAGAGTTCTTATTTTTGTAGGTCACAGATAGTTGGATATTGTCAACAGAAAATGAGCTGAACATAATATAATAGAAAATAATATGAACTATAAATATATTGTTAATGCTAAGGCTATAATTCACTTTTTTTAACAATCTATCCAATTTCATCATCATGGTTTACACAACCCTACATGATCATCTTTCATCCTCTTCTGGTTCCTCAGGCCCAAGCCAGTCTTCCCTCTGTTCTTTGAGGCTAACTTTGCCACCTGTGATGCTCTCCCTCTGTATCTTTACATGGCTGGGTCTTTCCTAGCATTTCAGTCTCAGATTAAATTCTACCTCTTTGCAGAACACTTCCATGGGTACCAATATTGATTGATTGATTGACTGATTGAGACAGGGTCGGGCTGGGGATTTAGCTCAGTGGTTCCGCTGTCTGCCTCGAAAGCACAAGGACCCAAGTTAGATCCCCGGTACCAAAAAACACAAAAAACAAAACAAAACAAAAAAACAAAAGGACTAAATAGTGCCCTCCTCACTTCTAGCAACTCCCACATCACCCAGCTTTATTTTCAACAGAGCACTTATCGCTCATAACCTTGCACTTTTTGTGTTGTCGTCCTATCTGGGACACTATGGTTTAAGCTCTGGTACAGCTGCAACTTTATCGCATACATAGCTCTAAACAGAGCAGCCAGGCAGTAGGTACAGATGTTGACATAATGAACTCAGTAATCACTCTCTAAAAAGCTGCCAGGTGTGGTGGTGCATGCCTGTAATCCCAGCACTTGGGAGGCTGAGGCAGGAGGACTGCAATTTCAAGGCCAGCCTGAACTACAAAATGAAAGCTTGTCTCAAAAAACAAAAACTTAAAAGCAGCAGGATCAGTCACTATTTTCTCAAGCATTTCATTCCCTTGTTTTGCTAGTTCCACTGTAGTGGATTCCCTTTCACAGACTGGACTTTCCCTTTCTCCTCCATGCCTTGGCCTGTTCTCTAATTCTCTGGATCTCTAATTCGTGGGCCTCATCCCTTAGCGCACATCTCTGTTTGGGGTGTATCCAGTCTTTGGGTGTATCCAGTGTTTGGGGTGTCCCCAGCTCATCCACTGAATCTTTTAGCTCTATAATATTTTATATTCCTAACATCTCCAATTTTTCTTCAACTGCTTATTCTTGCCTTTGGCTTCCCAACATCTTTCCTTTGCTTTTTGAGAATATTTATTACGCTCCTGATGATTTCTTCCTCTTCCTCCTTCTGCTTCCATTTGTCCCTATTTTTTTCACAGTGTGTGGATTCCCCCAATGTCTCATTAGCTTCACCTGCAGACTTAGACAGCTCATGTCTTCACCTGCTGGGCTTGAGCAGAATTCTGGGGACGCTGCTGCTCCTGGAAAGCTTGGGAGAGATATAGGGGGTACTCAGGGCTGGGGCACCCTGAAGCTGGAATCCAGGCTCAACCTCACCTCAGCCAGGAGGCCCTGTCCCTTACAGATGATTTCCTGTCTCATGGTTACCCTGCTTCTGCGATCTAATCACTGAGTCAAGGCAGAAACAGGAGGGCAAGCTCTGGCCTGGATGCCACCCCATCAGAGCCCAGGGCTGCCTGGACACCAGCCCCTGGAGGTTCTGAGGTTTTCCTTTGCTACAGTGGGACAGGGTGGGGGGGGGGATGGGTCCCCACTAGAGAGCCACCGCTCCCATCCTGTGGTTGTGACATGCTGTTCGTCTTCTCCAACTGTCATTTTCCTCCCATCCAATCTACTGTGGAAATATCTCTTGGACTTTCCCTAAAAGTACTTCTGTCTTGTTTTTATATGTGCTCCTTGCTATGACACTTCTCCTTGCTTCATTCCTTTTTTTTCCTTTTTTGGTACTGGGGATTGAACTCGGAATCTTGCACTTGTTAAGCAGGCACCGGAAGCACTGAGCTAAATCCCCAGCCCTCATTCCTACTCTTTTTGACTGTGTGATTTGGGATAGCACCAGCCCTGGAGCTTCTCAGTATCCTGAAGAGTTATGAACTCAGTTAGCCTTTCCTAGGCCAAATACTCCATTTCCTTATTTGTCCCTTTCTCAATTTTTTGTGGCTTGTTTTTCTTCAGATTGCAATCAGCAGATCAGAAATATAGGAAGAACGTAGCATGCTTGTGAAAAACAGGAAGACAGCATGCAGAGCCCCAAGAAAGACTATTGGACAAGTGAACAAACTGTGGTCCTATGTGGAGGTTAGCTGTATCTTAACAAATGCCCTTTGTGGTAAAGGTCTGGAAGGTTCTGTCTTCACAGATCAGCAGTGTGATACGCAACTCTGATCTTGGCAGTGTGCATCTGTGTGCGAGGAACTGTGGGAGCATTCATTTATTCCTACTCCTGGGTTTACTTTTTAAACATTTTCCCCAAACTCTCTCTAAATATCTAGTTTAATGGCTGGCTTCAGGAGCCCTTGAAGGGTAAGGCACACCTTACCCTTTCTGGCTTAGACTTCTCATAAGCATCTCAAAGGGAACTCATGGCCTAGGAGGGGGGTCAGAACCATTGCTCAACATTGCTGTCCCATTTCTTGCTCCATTTCTTTGTGGTTTTCCTCAAGAAACCACTCTCTTGTGGAAAGCACACAGAGCTGTTGAATTTTTAACATTATGGATGTTAAATATTATGGATTTTTAACAGTATGGATGACTGCTACTCTCCCATAAAGACTAAATGAAATCACTAGTGTTGCCACGTGGTGCCCACGAAGATACTCAAATACACCCAGCCTTTTCCTAAAGTACCTGCTGGATTCCAGGCCTTGAGGCTGACTGGCCCACAGGACCAGGCTGTGGGCAGCAAGGAGAGGGGTGTTCAGAATGTGTTCTCTGTAACTCCCAATTGTCTTCCAGTGAACCGTCTCTGCCATTGTTGAGGCTGCATCGAAACACCCGGCTCTCTCGCCATTTCTCATGGGCTTGGTCCACACTTCCCTGAGTCCCTGAGGAGCATCTCTGCACCTTCCCTGTCTGTGGAATGAGACAGTAGTGGTGACTACTTATGGCAGTCACCACTAGTTATCTCCCAATATCTATTTCCCCTTCTTCCTTAGTAAAGGAGGCATCCTGATTTCTTAGCTGAGCATAATGCTACTCATAATGCTACATTTCACATATGACTAAGTTCTGGTCAATGAGATAAAAGGGAAAACTCTGTATGGTACTTCTGGGAAGTTTCCTGAAAAACGGAGGGGTGCCCTTTTTACCTTTTCTTCCTTCTTACTGCTTGGAGTAGGGAAGGAATACCTGTTCCAGTACCCATTCTGGAGTAGGAAGTGACCTCAGGAAAGGAATCTTTGCATAGCAAAGCAACAGTATAGAAATGGGTCCCAAACACTACCAAGTCAATATGCCATTTTTGAATTCCTTGCCTCTGCTCTTCTTTTATAAGTGAAATCATATCAAAATTTGATAGCAGTTGAGGTTACTATTTTGAAGTCTGTAAAATATAGACCATCTTTAAAAATGCGGAAAGTCTCATCATGTAGGGCCTCAGCTTTTTTGTTCTTTTTTTTTTGTAGTGCAGGCTTGCTTTGTGCTATGTAGCCCACACTGGCCTTGAACTTGCAGCGATCCTCCTACTTCAGCTTCCCAAGTGCTAGCTGCAACTTGTTTTCATTCATTCATTCAACAGTGTACCTTGGGGGTGTGTGCATGTTTTCTTACTTTTCATATTTTTATGGTACATTCTGTCCACAGATACTTTGAAGAGCTTGAACTCTCAGCCTTGAACCAAGTACCTGATTCCCTTATTTGTCCTTTTCTGAGAAGTGTACTTGCTTGTGTGCAAAGAGGCTAGTCATAAGGCTGTTCATCGAGACACTGTGATAGTCATGCTTTGGAAAGAAACTAAACGGCTATCAGTAGGACAGAGATTAAACAAATGGACAGTCATGCTTTTCTGCAATTATAAGGAATGATTTCTTGATAAGGCCAGGTCACCAAGATAATCATTAATTGTATGAAAGTGAACTATAGAACACTATACAACCAGCAAAACACCATAAAGGGTAGGAGATATGGAGGAGGTGAATTTGTGGGAAGGCAGGGAAAAGATTCAAAAATAGTTTTGTACACTTCCTTCTGATAGGGTTTACCCCTGGCAAAGGAGCTTTTTCAGACTATTAACACCCATGTCTCAGGCCAGGGATTTAGCCGGCACCTGCCTTGCAAGCGCAAGGTCCTGAGTTCAATCCCCAGTACCAAAAAAACAAAACAATACAAAAAAACAAAACACCGGTGTCTCTGCAATCTCTTCAAAGTGAATTTATTCTCTGCCAGTCATATTAATGGCTTCAAATGAAAGTGCTTGCATGTTCATAGATCAAGTACTGCATTTGCAAAACGTCTTCTAAATCAGAAATGGAACATACCCATGCTGTATTCAAGGAGAGACTTTATGTGTTATAGTCTGTTCAGGCTGTACAGCACAAAGCCACACACAGACTGGGGGTCAGCAGAGAAAACAGAGATATATTCCTATTGCTTTGGAGGCTGGAAGGTACAAGATCAAGATACTAGACAGCTAAGTTAGGTAGAAATTAATAGGTAGTCAGACAGGGATAAGCCCTCAAGGGAGTCAGTGTGGAAGATGAAAACACATCAAAACTGCTGCTGAAGGCACATCTGAAGGGGGCCAGGACTCAAGATGGAGACAATATGGCCAGGCCTGAGAATCTCCCTAAGGAAAAAAGAGCAACTTGAGATTCTACTGCAATTAGTGCCACCCGGTTCACTAAAGTCCAGATGGACATGAGGCATATAGATGGGTGACCAGAATATCCAGACTCATCCTCCTATCCCTTCTTGTCCCTTTCAAAAAAAAAAAAATTCCTCTGTTCTTCCTATGTTAGAAGTTATAGATGAGCTGAAGTTAACGATGCTTGCTGTGCACCCTTGCTATGTGCCTCAATTCCCTATTGGATCAATATGAGCTACTCGAAGCCCTATCAGTTGACTGTAGTTTGACCCACTGTGTACCCACCTTGTGATTTTGCTCCATAGAACATTCTTGGAGAAAGCGCCTGTGGGGCCACGCACTTCTGGGACCCCTCCTGTCTCTCAGGAGCTGTCGGTAAACCTTTCCTTACTCTTCACCTCCTTCCTTTCTCAGGAGACAAAAACTCAGCACATCTGGCCTCCAGCAGGTTGAGAGTTATTTTCCCCCAAAGATTAAGTGTCTGTGAAAGAAGGAGGACCTGGTTCAGAAATGTTGGTCCTGTGTATTTGCAGTGGTGGGCGAGGCAGAAGAGTCTCTGGGTCTAGGGTGCTGCCACTCCTGGGGGTTCTGCCCTTACTACCTGATCACTCCTGCAGGGCCACCTCCAAATATCTCCAATCATGTTGGGGATTTCAGCATTTGAATGGGAGACACATAAACGTTCAGCCCATAGCATCCTGTTAAACAGTTTCCTCTGTGAAGAGGGATGAGACTATCTAGAATGACTGGGTGTAAATGGAGTGACTTAAGTTCAACAGGACCCTAAGGAAATGGGGGCTCATCTCAGGCCAGGGTGCACTGGCACACAAGTTTGCCTGACAAATCCAAGAACATCTCCAGATACTGATGCACTTACTGAACATTTATAAATAGTTACAACATATGAAGGGCTGGGCCCTCAAGTAAATGCATCCAAAGTGTCTCTAGATCTCAAGGAACCACTGGTCTAACCCAGCATTACAGTAGTGGCAAACATTGTACACCAAACAGAGCTACATTAACAGTAGGGAAAACTCAGAAAAGCTGGGTATTCCAACTGTGATCTGAGGACCAGCAGCATGTATATTGTGTAAGGGAATGTGAGACCCCAGTCCTTAATTCCTGAATCGAATTTTAGCAAGATCCCCAGTTGAAGTGGATTCTTATTAATTTTTGAGAAGGGAGCTGTCCACTAACCATCCACCCCTTGGGAAGTGGTGAGAAGCAATTATGGCACAGAAAGAACAGTAAGGGTACTGGATCAAGAAGTTTAGCTTGGAAGAAACATTTGGCACGTTGGAAGAGGTGGGAAACGTGGCTGGAAAGGCAGGCCAACACCATAGGCAGAAGGGCCATACTGACTTTATGAGGATGCTGGAACAAGTCACAGAAAATCTTTTTTTTTTTTTTTTTTGGTACCGGGGATAGAACTCAGGTCCTTGCGCTTGCGCAGCAGGCGGCGAAACCACTGAGCTAAATCCCTGGCCAGGTCACAGAAAATCTTAAGCAGGACAGTAACAGGATCGGATTCTTCTGTTTAGACCTAACTGTAACTGGTGTCGGAGGCTGGAGCAGGGAGACACGTGTCCCTAATTGAACACGCTTCAGTTTAGGACTGGAAGGGAAGCCTCCTACTTCCAGACAGCTAACAAGCCCTAGGCAGTCGGAAAAACAAAGTTGGATAAACAGTTTCTCAGCGTTCGAACTAAAGTCAGCTGCATCAGCTCACCGGCAGTGTTAGATATGCAAATTTTGAGGTCTCGCACTGTCAGTACAGTAGGGAACTTACAAGCCTAATTTGGAACAAGTTCTTCAGGTAATTCCCACGTCCTTGCCAAACACCTGCAGCCAGTGGTAAAGGCTTAAAACCGCCCCAACTTCCTTATTGCCTTAAAAATAAAAAGTAATGAGAAATGGATTTCTATGCTGAGTAAGCAGAACAAAAGCCACCTAGAACTTAGCTTTTATATAACGCCCAGAATTTAAAAAACTCAAAAACCCCATACTGACCATCTTGTCCAAATCGTCATATCTGGAGAATCAAAACAGTTTCGGTATAAATCATTATGCTCTTGGCTGCCTAAATTAGGTACAACTTAATATAAAGTTCAGTAATCTTCCCAGTTGTAAATTCTTCCTGTCCCCTGTATTCCCCACAAAAACATGCGTTAGAAAAGCGCTGGGATTCCTTCTGGTCCCCTGCAAGCTGTTTCTGGTGCAACCACAGTTCGCGAGTAGAAAACCCCGGGCCCGGAGCAGTTCAACTGCCGCCCTGGCCACACCCTGGGCCACGGCTCCTTCCCGGCCTGGACCGAAGATAAACAAATCGCGCCTGTTCTCCAGACCTCACATTAGCGCTGACTCACAGGGTGCCCAGAGCGGGCCTCAGTCGCCTCGCGAAGAAGGAAAAATGTGCAGATTTTTCCTCTCACGCGAGGGTCCGCCGTGTCTAGCTGGCCAATCATCGGAGGGCTGCGGGAATCGCACCAAAGTAGGTAAAAAATGCGGGGTGCCGCCCCATCCGAGGCTACCGCCAACCTCCCGACCCTGTCCTCCCACCGCGCGCCCCGCCCAGCCTGCACCCCAGCCCCACCCCCAAAGGCGTGCACACCTGGCCAGGTGGCCGTTTCTATATATGGGCAATGGCGGTGCAGTGGGCGGGGCGGAGTGTGGCCGAGCCCCCTACGGGGTAAGAGCCGGGCCTCTCCACTTTAGACGTCCTTTGCCCGCCCCTGGCCAGCAGGTGCCAGCCCAAGCTCCGCCTCTCATCACCTGCAGTTGAGGAAGTAGAACCTGCCCGCGCCCCTCAAGACTGGAGCTGGCGAAGGGGTCCCGCCCCTCAGCCCCGGGCAGGTGAGCGACGCCCCCGCAGTCCGGACTCCAGGCTGCCCCCGGGGCGGGGCATTGCCGGGCCGGCCCGTCGTGTAGCAACGCGGGCAGTGCGTGACGTGCGCAGGCGCATTTTGACCCGAGGCGCGCGACCGCCCCTTAGTAGGCTCACGGTGCCGCGTCGGCTCTGCGCTCGCTTTCTCGTCCTGCTGGTGTGAGGAGGTTGTTCCGCACACTCGGTTCCCGCCGGCTCCCTCCCCTGAATCCCTGCAACCGCCGCTGCGAAGATGGTGAGTGAGAGGGAGCCCCGGGGCGGACTGATGCGGGGCACCCGGGCTCCGCGGGGTCGGGGCTGTGGGGCGTGAGCTGCGACTGTGCTGAAGAGAGACCTAGGCCCGGCTGTGGCCTCGGTGGAGGAGGGCCCCCCGTTTCCCCCCGGTAGCCCGCGGCCTCTGCGCGGCTTTGGGCCGCTGCCAGGCCGCCGCCCCGGGTGCCATCCCCCACCTCCCCACCGGTCCTCAGTGCGACAGGCCGAGGTCGAGTGTCCCACCCGCCCGGGGAGCCGATCGGTGTCTGCAGAGCAGGTGTGGGGCCGCGCTCGGAATCCGGCGACGGTCCCCTTCGGTGCAGGTTTCCTCAAAGCCGGCGCTCAGTGACCCGTCCACGTTTCCATCGTGAGGTCTTTCCATCAATAAGGAAAATAAGGCCTTTATTGAACAATCCGGGAGGGCGGACCCTGGCTCGGTTAAGAACCGGGTGGCCTTGCCACCGCTTTGTTTGTCGTATCTGGCAATCAGCTTCCAGCAGCACTGTCGTGCTTGTCAGCCTTGGGAGGGCCTGTTTTAACCCTTCCCTGTCCGATCCCTCCATGTGACGCTGGAGATTTTCTTATATCTGTGAACAGTTTGGCTGTACCAGGATTTTGGAGTGCAAGGTGCGAGCATGATGTTGGATGCTAATACAACAAATTTAAAAGCGTTTTAAAAGTCCTTTAAATTACCCTAGTCATTTAAAAGTAAACATGTAGGGCCGGGGATTTAGCTCAGTGGTTTCGCCGCCTGCTGCGCAAGTGCAAGGACCAGAGTTCGATTCCCGGTACCAAAAAAAAAAAAAAAAGTAAACGTGTTCAGTATTATTGTAGATAATGGAGATTTTACATATATTTTCTCCCTCAACACTGACACTGCTGTAAAAGGGTATTTTCAGCCGGACTATCAGATAAAACATTTTGTCACTTTCTGAAGTTGCACACACTGTTACCATTTTTGGTCAATGATTTGTAGGCACAGCCTTACGAGACTTTGCTAGAAATAATTACACTGTTAACTGCATCTGTCCGCCTGGAAGCTGTTGGTACCAGCTTATCTGTATACAGTGTGTATTTGTAGAGTAACAGTGTTGGTTTTCTTACAGTAGTGCAACTTTCATGCAGCCATGCTCGTTCGTGGAAGAAAAAGATTAGCCAGTAGTTTTTTGGTATGTGAGCGTGTGTAATAGGGGGTTGGTTCATAGTCTTTGGTTCTTTGCAGTAAGCTGCAAAGAGGATCAGCATCTTAATTCTTTTAAACTTATTTAAGATTTTAAATGTATATACTACTTTATACTAAGTGACTTTTAATATAAGGGCTTTGAGTTCTCATAAACAGAACCATCCAGTTTGCTGCAAGTGCTTTTTGAAGTGAACTGGAGTTTGCTGCAGAGTCTTGTTTGTAGTTGTTGTTTTTAGTTTCTAATACAGTACAGACTTTTGTTTGAAAATAGGACCAAACATTTTAACTTAAGTTATAAAACTTATCTCCTGTACTTCTATACATTCAAATAAAATGAAGGGAGAACCTTCCTTCCTGCTAGTTGGAGAGAGAGGAAGAAGTAAAAACTAAAGATGGTAGATACTAAATACATTTCAAACTTGTTCACCTTATAGTAGTAGTTCAGAAAGCCCTTACAAGCTACTTTTGTTTGAATGCTTGTAGAGAATAAAGAGCTCAGAATACAGACTGGTCATTTTAAAGGTTAGTCTTACATTTGGTCTTACAAGCAGAGCTATTCATTCTAGCAATTAGAGAGTATTGTGACGAGGGAGAGTTCCTTTATTTATTATCCTAGATTCTAGTACTTTCTCTCAGTATTTGGAAATGTTTCGATTTGTTGGTTAGATGCTTGGTGCCAAGTTTTGTTTTTGTTTTTTTTAACCCTAGGTTAAATTTTAACTGCTGATGGGTGTGGGTATTTTTTGTTTGTTTGTTTCGTTTTGTTGCATTTTTTTCTTTTTTTCTTTTTTTTGGTACCAGGGATCGAACTCGGGTCCTTGCGCTTGCACAGCAGGCGGCGAAACCACTGAGCTAAATCCCAGGCCCTTGTTTCATTTTTTTGTTTGCTTGTGTGTTTTTTTTTTTTTAAGGCAGGGTCTCACTGTAGTTCAGGCTGGCTTTCAACTCACTGTGTAGCCTGGGCTGGCCTCAACTTGCAGTGACCTTCCTGCCTCAGCCTCCGGAGCGCTGGAATGCTGGGATTACAGAGGTGTGCCACTATGCCCAGCCAAGGGTGTGTTCTAAATTAGAAGAATTACTTCCTGGTATTCACCAGCTCTTCTCAAAGCATTTGGAATAAAACAAATTGAAACCAATTTTTAAAAACTCATCCTGGGCACTTTTAAAATGAGATTTCTTGTTTTCGAATGCCTCACTTTATAGTGCCCTCCCACCTCCTTTATACACTCCACATAAAATTCTGTGTGTGTACTGGGCGTGCCAGCTTCCTTTATTATGTGCAGAGCTGTTTGCCAGCCCACCGTCAGGTTCCTAAGGCTGTTTGCTCAGTGGTTTTCTTGGCTATGGATTGTGACTCACAGGTAGACCTGCCTAGCTCCTCTTGTAACCAAGGTGTACATTTGCATTATAATTGGCTTAGGCCGAATTACAAATGCGTTTTACCACAGGGAAAAACACTTTTACTTATGACAGCCCAGTGAAGTAGGCTAGGCTCTTATTCCTGTGCCTATTTAATATAGGAGAAAACAGACTGAAGGATTCTCAACTTGTGACCAGTTGCTTTTCCTGACTGCACATCAAGCTTTAATTCTTTTTTTTTTTTTTTCGGTACAGGGGATCAAACTCGGGACCTTTTACTTATGAGCCAGGCGAAGCACCACTGAGCTAAATGGACCTTTAAAATAATTTTTAAACCTCTTTGAACATTTTAAGGAGTAAAGTGCACAGAATAAAGATCCCTTTGTATAAAAGAGGTTAATTTTTTGCCATATTTCACATTTTTATGTTGCCTTTGCAGCTAAATGCTAGTTTCCTCTAACCGTTCCCATCCCTCCCCAGAGGCAGCCAGTCTGGGGTCAAAGACATCACGTACTGGCTTATTAAGGCGATGATTTTATTCAGGCTGCTGCAGATTAGGAGAGCATTCATTAAGAAGAAACTTCTCAAACAGAAAGGAGACCTGGGTCAGGTAAACCACGGAGCCTTGAGAAGGATGGATGTGGCTCTCATCTGCGAGTGTAAGCAGGCCTGCCCTTTGCAGTTGCTGTTTCCCACAGCTGGCAGTGAGGGCAGGCTACTTGCCCATCATTGCTTTCCAGGAGTGTAGGGCTCAGGCGATTTCCAGTCAGCTAAAATTGATCCATCCCATTCTTGTCAGTAGTTCATGCTGTTAGCTACACATATGTGACCTTAGTAATACACATTGCACTGATGTGTTTTTAAAATTTATATGTCTATGCTTTGTGTCACCTTTTGTAGAGTTTTTAAAAATTAAAACTTTTTTGAGGGGAGTTAGTTTTTGGTTTTAGTTGTGAGTCTGGTTTTCTAAAACTACTGAATAGTATTCCATTGTGTGACTGTACAAAAGTTTGTCTGTTCCCCTGTTCATGGACATCTGGTCTTCCAAAACTTTGCAACAGGCGATTTCCACATCTTCTTGTATATTACTTCTCTAGGCCCAGTGCCTATCTCTTGTTGGTGTTTGTGTAGAAATGAAGCCTTGGATTGGAGGGTGGATGGATTTCCTACCCTGTTGGTTTGTTTACTTTGCTTCCATAGTTTATAGCTTGTTTTTCCATTTCTTTTCACCTGGTGTTAGAAAACTTAGAACCTTTGTCCATGTGATGACTGTGAAGTGGTTTCTCCTCATTTTGATCTGCATTTAACTGATTAGTAGAAGGTTAACTTCTTCCATGTTATTGAATCCTTTTGTCTTTGTGGTGCTGGTGATTGAACCCAGGGCCTCATGCCCACTAGGCAAGCAGTCTATCAGGGTTGAACAGGACTACATCGCCCAACCCTCATCTTATGTTTTTAGATGCATGCTGCATCCTGTGAGCCTCACTTCATCTGCATTTATTTACATTAAAAAAAACAACAACAACTGGAACATGCTGGTCAGTGTTAGGACCTTAAGGACAGATGTCACCCACTTTTGTGTACAGGTTTCTTTTCAGGCCTCATGAGGTAGGTCACAGAAATTTGCCACTCTTACTTCTCTCACCTGCTGTTTCCTGGCTCCTGGGATTAGAGACTGTAGAGTGATTTAGAATGCAGTTCCTACTTAGCTGGGGTCCTGCAATTAACTCTTACGGCTTCATACTGTCCTGTTTCCTGGACAGTTTATGAGCCAAAGCGTTAAACACACAGAGAAGATGTGTGAGAATGCTTCCTTTCTGCTCAGATTTGCTATGAACTAAAACTCAAAAAATAGAGTCTACTAAAAAACATGCAAAACAAATAACTATCACTTTTTCATAAAAACAATTGGTTTAAATAAAATAGTGTTTAATGTTTAACTTAGTATCCAGGAGGACTCTGAACATTTGTTTTTCTGCTAATGTAACTATATTTTCTTTCAATAATTAAATACTTTGAGATGAGTATACTGTATTTGAAATTTGAAAAAGTCTTAAAGCTTTGAAAAACTGAACTTTACATATAGATGGATTGTTTTAAACTACAGAGCAAAGCTGTAGTCCCTGAGTGACCCAGCCATGCTCTCTTTATTGTGCTATCTGCTGTTTGTGTGTTTAAACCACACAGCATAATAAAGAAAGAAAGAAGATTGTTTCCCGTGGGGCATAATATTGTTCTCCATATTGTCCATGAAAGTCGTATCCAGAGGTTTACATCGAATGCTCAGAAATATCATTAATCAGTTTTTCTTCTGTCCTTGCCTCCTTTGTGTTGATGTTAGAAGCCAGAATTTTTCACTTGAAATTGTCCTTTTGAGCTGTGTCCTGTTCATTTTTCTTAAAATTTTTGAGAAAGGTATAGGTTAGAAAAATAAACAGGTT